TGCCAGCATTCATGCAACTTTGTACATTGCCTGTGGTTTGCCTTTTACGGCGTCATTGAAAGTTCAATTTTTGAAAGAAAACGAGCACGTGCACAAAATCCTCATTTTCTATTTTATTTTTATCTTTAGGCGTGCCTATCATGTTCAGTATCGTTTGACCTCTTCTATTATTCACTCCATTAGCCAGATTACTGTTCATAATGTCTGCATTCCCTTCACTTCCAATGACCTATCTTTGCTCGTTCTAACTTGTGATATTCTCTCTTCACTTTCACCCTCTCTCTCTATGTTTGTCACGCATAAGAAGATATTACAAACTCAGTAACCTAACATCGATACCTCGCTCTGATGTCCTTCGGTAACTTATTTTCATCATCTGGTTCTCTTTGTCTTCGACTTTAAAACCATTCATATTTCTAGCGTGAAGCTCTTTCCTCCTTTCGTTCGTTTTGTTTGTCCAATTAATAAAAGGCGCAAATTCGAATCGTTGTGTAATACGGGTCTTCAATATCCAAGTACTGACGAGCTACAAATTATCTTAGCGAAACTCATGAGAGAAAGAAGAAAATTTGTCACTGAAATTGCAGTTTTCTGATTCAATCTATAAATGGCAGTTATGATACACAACCCACAGTTTTCTTCTATCTTCCAATCTGTTTATTAATCTGTCGACCTATTCGAAATCCAACCATGTTTCTACCTATCCCCTGTCTATCTGTATGCCTGTCTGTCCATCTCTTTTAGTCGACCTATACTGCTATCTATCTACTTTCCAATATATCTGTCAAAATATTAATCTATTTATTTGTCTCTCTTCTGTTTATTGATCCATCTACTATCTATCTGTTAGTATAATTGTCTATATATTTATGCAGCGTCGATCTGTCTAAATGTCTGTCAGTTTAGCTGCCCATCCATCGACAGGTTATGGCCTCCAGCAGCAAAGAAGAAGGCTCAAAAGTTAGCATAGTGGTTGCATGGTTCCTCCATCGATCATCAGCTCCATCTCTTAGTTGAAAAATCGCCCTTATGCATACGCACCAATCGCTGCGAAATCACACTGCGAGAACGTTTCGAAATACGGAAGAAATTCTGAGTTTCTTTTAGAGCGGCGTATTTGGGCTACTTTGTAAATGTGCCAGTTTTTGTTGTCAGCAGCTAAACTTTAGGGGCCATTCATCAAAGAAATATGCGTCATGTCACAGCATGGCTTATTACAGCGTAATATTGCATACACTGTTAATCCTGTGACATTTAACTCAGACCATAGCGGCAAAGGGCAGGGTAATTTGGTCCGCTCAGCAACGTCATAACGGGTTCTTATAACGCTTGGTTGTTATCGATTTAACAAGTTGACATTAAATGCAACGGTGCAGATGTTTAGTACGATTCAAAGACGAGGTGCTGAAGAAATGCTCCATGAGGACCAGGATTCCTCACGTGATCAGCTTATCAACGGTGAATCACAAGGAGTACCGGACAGAGTGGAGTTAAGCATATTTGAAACTGCTTCATTGCCGCAAGCTGGTTAACCGCACGATGACCGTAAGCTCGTGTGATCATCGATCTCTTGATTGCTATGCCAAAGGCAAAAGGCAAAACCATCAGTCCTCCTCGAATAAATAAGAATGACCAATTTTCAGCCGGAATCCACTCGAACCTCTGAGCGAGGAGTGAAACGGCTTCCCACTGCAAAACAATACTCATTCCTTAGCCTCGACTATATGATCAGGTCGCGTTAATGCTAATTTAAAGCGGTCGCTTCCGGAAGTGACTGCAAGAAGCAATGTCTGATTGTGACCATTTGATAAAACGATCAGCCATCACGTGATAAATAATTGTGAAAATTCCCCTCCTCCGTTTACGTTTGAACTTCCTTGATCTGTTTTTCAACCAAACCCATTTTTGGTGTGCTTATCGTTTGGAGCAGAGAGGCCGGCGTCTAATAAATCACTAGTTGTTGCGCATATATGTATGTAAACGATAACTTGATCGATAATGCTATTTCCCTCAGCTTTGGAACAGCAGCGTCGAAGGATTCGCCTCATCCTCAAATCAGAGACAAGTCACAACAGTGGCTCGAAGGATATGGGCTCCACGGCGAGGTGTCAGCTGTCAGTGCTCATTAGAGTGCGCTCTGAGGGCGACAGCTACTTCCGCTTAGGTGATGTTCTTTAGGCGTTGATTGTGGCGGCGAAAGAGAGTAAAAACACCGTTCGTTGCGCTCCGAGCTACGCCAATGATCAACGTCCTCTCATTTTCCCTACGTGCGTCATTAGTCCTGTTTTTTGGACAATCAGACCTGTGGCAATCAAGAATGGCACTTCAAAATTGAAAAATCCAGCCCGTCTCCGGCTATCGTTCTGCTGGCTAATTTCGCTGTCTTGCGGCCGTCGCATCATCTGGTAAATTCACGCCTAGGCGTGAGGATTTTGATATTCAAATCTTTGGTCACTCCTTCAGCCGGCGGTAATATTCACATCTTTCACCGTTTTTGACTCAGCCGGAACGGATTCACTCTGTGACTCTTCAGTAGAATACGGTAGATGAATAAAAAATTCAAATATTACAATGAGGTACCCATTCGCCATCGTCTTCCACAATTTCCTACAAGCAACTACATAGATTCATAGATTCATAATTTGCGCGATGACATATCTTATTGCGGTCGTAGCACAGAAAGCAAACGTCGTAATTTTGGAAATATGCATCTGTTGCTGTATGTTGACTTTTTCTTAATAAAAAACTGAATTAAATAAGAAGGACATCTCCGGAAACAATTTCATCCGTAGTGCTGGATGTATTCTTATCATGATCAAAATTTTGTTTTAGCACCATGATCTGGGTTATTGTGCATGTCGATTGCTATTCTGTTTATCTATTATTCAGAGTCTGACTTTTGTGCTCCATCGCAAAGAGCAGGCAATAAAGTGTGAGAGGAGCAGTTGAAAGCTAGAAAGTTTGTTACCTAAATCTGATCACAAACGAACCCTAATTTTCACCATAAACATAATGAAAAGAGGAATCCAGTATTAATTGAAGAAAGCAAGGATTATTAGCATGATTATCATGGTACGGAAGAAATAAATTCCGATATAAAACTAATAGATAATGATCACTGACAGCTGATCTACATATGCACCGCGAAAGAGCTTCTGGAAGTCGACCAATTCAAGTATCTCGGCTCCATCCAACCACAGCTAAAGACTAGAGTGCCTTTGGAAATTTCTGCAATATTTGAGCCTAAAATGGAGCAACTCTTTTCGTTAAAAAATTACTTCTACCTTGTCTCTGTCAGGTCGATGCTGCT